ACCCTAAAATTCTAAAATTCTAAAATTCTAAAATTCTAAAATTCTTAAAATTCTAAAATTCTAAAATTCTAAAATTCTAAAATTCTAAAATTCTAAAATTCTAAAATTCTAAAATTCTAAAATTCTAAAATTCTAAAATTCTAAAATTCTAAAATTCTAAAATTCTAAAAATTCTAAAAATTCTAAAATTCTAAAATTCTAAAATTCTAAAATTCTAAAATTCTAAAATTCTAAAATTCTAAAATTCTAAAATTCTAAAATTCTAAAATTCTAAAATTCTAAAATCCTGAAATCATGAAATTCTAAAATTCTAAATTATCGATTTTTTACCTACCCATGATCCTCATTTTGTGATTTAGATCTCAGCAGATCTTCATAATGTCTTCGAAGAGCCTCTCCAAAATTTTTATCGTTTTGCTCACTGAAATTTTTTTTTATTTTTGTTAAAATTTTAAAATTCGAAAAATCCTCAAAAACTGATACAAAATGATCCTAAAATCAACTTTCTCGGACAATTTTGGATCGAGTTACAGCCATTTGAAGTTTTCGAGAGACGCAGACAACGAGAGCGCTCTCGTTTCTCTGCGTCTCTTCAGAACTTCCAATGGCTAAAACTTGGTTTGAAATTGTCTTAGAACGGTGATTTTTAGCTTGTTTTGTAGGAAAATTTTGATATTTTAAGGCGTTTTTTGAAAATTTCAAAAATTCTGGATTTACTGTAGTTCCCCACTCACTCCACTGATCTACAATCTTTGATCGAGTGGAGAATATCCAGTGCACTCTTTCGATGATACTCTTTTCTTATGTTGACCAGCGCTGCGATTCTGGAAAGGATTACTGTAGTTTTTAAAGGGTTACTGTAGTTTTTGAAGATTACTGTACCTTACTGCATCCACCTGCTTATCAATCTCCTTATCCATTTTGTCCAGTTCTTGGTTCTCTTTTTCCAGAAGTGTTTGGGATCTGAAAATTGGAAAACAAAAAATTTGGGATTACTGTAGTGGATTACTTACTCACTTTTCAGAATTCGGTAGGTTAGCAACCATTCGGTTCAGTTCGTTCCCCATTTTTTCACATTTTTCTTCTAGAGTTGGATTTTCAGATAATTGGATTCTGTAAAAAGAGGTTTTTGGTAGGGGATTACTGTAGTTCAGAATTGTTGAAATTTGTTGAAATTGCTGTTTCAAAATTGGTTCAACGAATTTGGCATTTAGTTTTCTAAATTTATCAAGTTTCAAAAATAACTCACTGTTGATAACCTTTCAACATGACGATTTGTTCCATCATCACAGCAACCATATCCGAATATTTTTGTTTCAATAAATCGATTTCCTGTTGTTGTCTGGCGTCTCTCACATTATCCGCTATCTTGCACTTTTTTCGCATTTCCTCTATCGTCGTATGATGATCCGCATTGGTAGCTTCCACCACGGCTAATCTAGTATCCGCCAACAAGATTTGGTCCATTAGAAACTCATTGAATACCGCGTACATTCCACATTCTTTACTCCATTGCGAAACCTGAAATTTAGCTATAAATGAACTAAAAATCAAGTTTCTAGGACCATTTTGAGCCGAGTTATAGCCATTTGAAGTTTCGAGTCAGAGACGCAGCGTGTCTCGTTTCTCTGCGTCTCTAAACCCGAAAACTTCAAATAGCCATAACTCGGCTCAGAATTGAGCTACAATATTGATTTTCATAAAGTTTTGTAGGAAATTTTTCCTACTTTTGGTTGCAAAAATCTTTAAAATTCTTTAAAAAGTGAGAAATGACAAATTCTAACAGTTCGAAAGTTTAAAAAAGTTAGAAAAATTCCAAATTTTCCATTTTTTTTTCCGGTTAAAATGGAAATTTCGAAGTTGATTATTTTTCTCAGAAGAGTTAATTGTCAACAATTCTGCGCAGAAAATGCCTCACACAGTAAAAAAGATAAAAAAGTTCAATATTTGTGTTTTGGCTGAAGCTGTAATTTTTAAAAAAAGTTATACTTTGAATGATACCTTGGACGATTTTAGAATATTTCGAAATTTTGTACTTTTGCTAGTTGAAACATAAATTTTTTCCGGAGTTTTTATATTTTGGAACTTCAATTAGAACTAAAAATTCAAGATTTTTTCGATTTTTCTTCCATTTTTCATTTTTTTTGGATTTCTAATTTTTGCTGAATTTTTGAATTTCTCAAACAGAATTTCGAGAATTCGAGAATTCGTAATATTCGATTTGAATAAAAAATTTTGAAACAGTAAATTTTTTGGTGGTTTTTCAAAGATTTTGTGATTTCCACAGGAACAAAAAATTTTCGAATACATGAGTTTCGGACATTGTTCAATTGTTGAATTTCGTGAAATTCTAGAATTTTCAGTTTTTGAATAGCAGAATTTCAGAATACCCAATTTTTAAAAAATCTTGCTCTGAGATTTTGAGATGTCAAAAAAAAACTGTACAACATATCGTGAATCGAGAATTCGTAATTCTGAATTTTCAAGAACATTTTGTAACAGAAACTTTTTCTTCTAGATTTCGGCTGAAAACAGAGGGAAATTGTCGTCAAAACTCTTTTCTAACTTGTTCAAATTTGTAATTTCAATCGAAAGATTTTAAAATTTCCTACAAAACACACTAAAAATCAAGTTTCTAGCCCAATTTTGAGCTGAGTTATAATCATTTCAAGAGTTTTGGTGAGAGACGCAGTGTGTCTCGTTTCTCTGCGTCACTCGCTCTGAAACTTTAAGGAGCTGTAGCTCAGCTCAAAAATGAGCGGAAATTTGATTTTTAGCGCATCTTGCAGGGCTTACCTCAAATTCCAACTGCTTCTTTGACTTTTCCACTTTCTTCTTGTTCGCCGCCTGCTTGACCTCCCCACCTTGCTCCGCCCACATTTGCTCCCATCGACTGATATGATAATCAACCGGATGATGTAACCCTCTGGCTCTTTGCTCGAGCTCTTTTCGTTTTGAAAACGTTAGCATCACATTTTTATGATCGATTAATCGATTTTTGGACTCTTCCAATACTCGCGTCCGCTGATCGTACTCGTCGCTGATCATTTTCATTGTCACCGCTCGCTCTTTTTCATACATATTCGGCGTCGCCTTTATCACTTGTGTCCGAAGCTCTCTGATACAATCAGTGTCCAATTTCATGTTGTACTGGGATTGGGTGCTCAGGGTTTCGATTTTATCATTTAGCGAGGCAATCAGTCGGTCCTGCTTTTCAATGGTCTCGAGCACTCGTTTGATACGATCCGTTTCGAATAGTTTGTTGCCCATTGGCATTCTGAAATAAAAATACAGGGGTTTTTTTGAGCAAAAATCGAACAAAAATCCCCTATAAAAATTGCTGTTTCAAAAAATTGTTTTGTTTTTGAAACAAAAATTTTTGTTGTTTTTGAAACAGCACTTTTAGAAATTCAATCCTTCCTCGATAACAGACATCTTTTCAAAACATTAGTTACTGTCTATTCAATAAAACGTATATCTTTCCTTTTTTGTCTTGTTAATTACCTTTCTAATTACCCCTAATTATCTCAAGTACTTCTAATTAATTTTCTTTAATTGCCCTTCTAACTACTACCCCCAATTAAATTAGAGCCTTTTTTCATAGTTTTGATTTTTTTTTTGGAATTTTTCGATAATTGTCTAATCACTCTTTTTAATTAGCCTACAAATTACCCTCTAATTAAGTTAAATCCCTTTTTT